ACACACTGGTGTAGAGGGTAGTGGCTCCTCCTTCAATTCACATCCAGCCAAACACAAGTAATGTCACTTGGAGGAGAGACCTTTGCTATTGTAATGAGTTAAAGACCTTACAAAACCTTCCCAGATTTTGGTGGGGCCCAAGTCCAGGGACTGGGGTCGTTCTAATGCTGGTTATGAGAAAGGCTGCCAGGATTGCATGAGCCCAAGTGCAACGCACAGTGTAAGAGCCTATGTCAAAACAGAGGAGAGACCACAGCTAGGTGAGACCAGAGACGAGAGCCTGCCACAGGCAAGGCTGCCTTAGACCCAACCAAGCCGGAGGCAGGAAAGAAGGCCTCTCTTCTCCGGGTCCCAGCAATGCAACCCTACCCACGCCAAATGTCAGACTTCTGTCTTCCAGAAACAGGGGATACATCTGTTGTGGAGATGCACACTGCGACTGTGGCAACCCTGAGAGGTCCGTGGACCTGCATCTGCACAGCTGTTTGTGCTCAGGAGCCAGGTCCTTGGCTGTGGCTCTATCTGGCCAAGGGCCCATCGCTTTGAGTCTGCACAGCTGAGGAAGGGCTGTGTTGGTAAGGTCACCCAGCGAGCAGAACTAGCCCTGGGTGCCCAGCTGTGAGTGTGTTTGTGTAGCGACGTGCGCGGCTAGTCGGTCAGCTGTCTACTTCACTCTCTAGCTCATGTTTTGAGACAAGGTCTCTCATGTAATCTGAAATTTGCTGATTCAGCTAGACTGTCTGGCTGGCAAGCCCCAGGAATCCCGTAGTCACCTTCCCTGTAGGAGGTGTTGGGATTACAGAGGCCTGCTGTTGCATCCGGCTTTTCATGTGCACTGGGATTATATGCATACCTCCCTGCACTTTACCCTCTCCCCAACCCCGCACGGCCTATACTTTATTTTTTCCATGTCTTAAAAAATTTACTTATTTTTTAATGTGTATGTGTGTGAGCCTATGTGAGTGTATGTGCACCATGTGTGTACAGGAGTCTGTGGAGGCCAGAAGGGAGGCGGTTGGATCCCCCAGAACTGTACAGGCTGTCGTCAGCTGCCATGTATGTCCTGGGAACTGAACCGGGGTCCTCTGCAAGAAGCAACAGCAGTAAGTGTTCGTAACTACTGAGCCATGTTTTGCATTTTTTTTTTTTTTTTTTTTTTTTTAAAGATCTGTAGCCCTGGCAGGCCTGAAACTTGCTATGTAGATCAGGGTGGCTTTAAACTCAAAGAGCTCTGCCTGCCTCTGCCTCCCTCTTTATGTCTTTTAGGGAAAACATCTTATTGGGCTGGTGAGGCAGCTCAGCTGGCTCAATACTTGCCACGCAAGCCTGACGTGATCCCTGATACCCATGGTGGAGGGAACTGGATTCCCAAAAGTTGTCCCCTGTCCTCACGTGTGCCTCCACAGTCACACACACACACACACACACACACACACACACACACACACAGAAGCTCATGGCAGAGTTCAGGTACCCAGCAAGATGGGCAACAGTGCTGTGTTGTTCACAACTTGAACAGCACAGGCCTCCTAACTTTGTTTGTTCCCATATTTAAGTGAATCTACCTCTGATGGGAAAGACAATATACTGCTTCATAAACTTAAAAGGCCTCCCTAACAGCTGGCCTGGGAATCTGCCTTTTACACCCACAGCACTGCTCATCAGTAATGTGATGTGTTTTGTGGTCTGCCACTTTCTGGTCACCCTCCCTCCCTCCCTCCCTCCCCTTCCTTGCTCTCATCTCTCTCTGTATGTAGAGGCCAGAGGTTGACATTAGGTGTCTTCCTCAATTGCTTTTCAACCTTATTTTTATTTTATGTGTATGAGTGTATTGCCTGCATGTGTGTAAGTGCACCCATGTAGTACAATGCCTGTGAGGTAAGAAGAGGGTGTCAGATCCCCTGGAACCGGAGTTAAAGGTGGTTGTTAGCCACCATGTGGGTGCTGGGCACTGAACCCAGATTTTCTGCAAAAGCAGCCAGTGCTCTTAACCAGAGCCTTCTCTCTAGTCCCTTGACTTTTTTGAAACAAGGTCTCATGTAGTCCAGGCTGACCTTGAAGTTGTGATCCTTCTGCTTCCACCTCTCAAATGCTGATTACAGGCATGTACTTCCACACAAGGTTTAAGAGGTGCTGGGGATGGAACCCAGGGCTTTGTGTATTCTAGGCAAGCCCTCTGAGCCACACCTCAAACCAAAATGTGGTGTCTTATAATTTACACTTGCTTTAATAATTTCTCCTTTCCTCTTTTTAGGATAGTTCTAGGATTTTTAACTTCAAACTACAGAAGTCCTATTTGCTTATTAAAGAAAATTTGCCCGGGCCTCCAAGTGACAAAGTTTAAGTTAAAGACTGACAGTGTGGTGTGTCCCTTTGTATACACATTAGGAGGAGGTTAAGAAACACACAGCTTCTTCACCTCCACGCACTTCAGCCTCAAGGTGGGCAGTGTTCTGGCTGCGGCTCCCGCATCACTTCTTGGTGCACACGACCCTTCAAGTAAGGGCTGTTTGTGTGGGTGCGCGTAGACGCCTAAGTGTACAACTACTACTGGAGTAGGGTTCCAGGGGCAGGAAGTGGTATCAAAAGATGCAAGGGCACAGTAGGAGGCCGAGTCCAGCTCACAGAGGCTTGGGACCACACCAGAGAGTTCTGGTGGGTCTCCGGAGGATGCAGAAGCCACCACTCTGGGGCGATCGATGGCAGCACTCGCTGTCCATGAAGGATCTCAACAGTGTGGTGGCTAGCCAAACACTTTGCAAGTGGGCTTTCCCGGGCTCCAATGTGCACTACTCACTGGGTGTACTATTGGTACACAGATGTAGTTATCAGGAGTTACAGTTTACAAGGCTGGGACAGGATCAGCACACAGGGTCCAGTTATATCCTGCCTTTGGGAGAAAACAGACCCCTCAACCTTTTTTTTAAACAGGGTTTCCGTAGTCCCAGTGTTCCAACTTTTTTTTTTTTTCGAGACAAGGGCTGGCCTTGAACTCAGTATATAGCCGAGGTTGCCCTTGAAACTCTGATCCTCCAGCCACCACCTTCCAAGGGCTGGACTACAGACCGTGTACCACCACCCCTGGCTGCTGGGAAGAGCCCCTTTTAAGGTACTATATTAAAAAAAAGTCATTTATCGTGGCGACAACCTCACCCACAGTGCTGAGGGTGCAGCAAGTCTCCAGCAGGGACGCAGATCCCAGGAGGGTCGGTGCGTGGAGGTCCCGGGGCAAAGGGCCGGGTGAGGAGAGGACCCCGGCGTAGAGAACACTCGGAAAGACTAGGGCGCAAGGTCAGCGAGCAGGCCCGGTAGACACGGTGCTTGCGAACCTCAGTTTAGAGCATGCCCCCCCCCCCCCCCCCCCGCCACGAAAAAAGTAAATAGAGAACAAAACTGCTTCCGGATGTCCACCTCGGCTCCTGCATCTGGCTGGGCGCGGGGTGCGCCGGCTCGGGTTCCCACAGTCCCA